AGAGGGACTTGCGGGGAGGGTAAATTCGCCAGTACAGGGTAGCAAGGGGGCTAAAACACTCATAGTCCAACATCGAGAGCAAAGGGAGAGTTTCTTTAGCAATTGTAATCCAACGGGGGGGGGGGGGGGTGTAGGGGGTCAGTACAGGAACGGTTCAGGAAAAACAGGGAGAATGCATGTACTCACAGATCCGACAGGGTGCCTGGTCTCCCAGGGACAGAAAGTGGAACACAGGTACCTGTTGGAGTGCAGATCATGCCGGTGATCTCCCCTTCTGGGCTGAGTCCTCAGGCAGCTGGCAGGCAATCTCTCCCCTGTGCTGGGGGGTCTCGGGCAGCTAGCAGGTAATCTCTCTCCTGGACTGGGGTCTCGGGCAGCTAGCAGGCAATCTCTCCCCTTGGCTGGGGGTCTCCGGCATCTGGCAGGCAATCCCTCCCCTGGACTGGGGGTCTCGGGCAGCTAGCAGGCAATCCCTCCCCTGGACTGGGGGTCACGGGCAGCTAGCAGGCAATCTCTCTCTTGCTGGGGGTCTCTGGCAGCTAGCAGGCAATCATCGGCAATGAAGCACGCCCCCTGGACAGGGGCTGCACTTCTCGTGAGCGCGGCCTTTGTCCAGGGACTTTCGCAAGCGTGGGAACTTCCCATGCCCACGCTGTGGATGACAACTGAGGTGGTGTCAGTGAGACGCCGTAGCCCGGAACATCCTGCGGGAGGCTCGCACCTCTCCGCGGAGAGGTGTGAGTCTCGCCACCTTCTCACCTCCGGCCCCAGAGGGAGAAGATAGTAGCAGGGGTGAGGAAAGCCGCACCTCTCATCCCACATCGGCAGGATGAGAGATGGAGGAAAGGGTGTCACTGGACCACAGGGATGAATGGGCTGGCAACAGGGGACACATTGAGGGGTCCAGGATGACACTGGACCCCCGGAGGACATCAGAGGGGCTGGGGCAGGAAACAAGTTAGGGCAGTGGAGGCCATGCAGCCAGCTGGCTGGGAGGGGGGAAGCCCCCGTGCTGGAATTTGGCCATTTGGCAGGGGTCCCTATACCGTGACAAACACTACCCAAATTAAATTTATATTTTTTTTTTCACATGAATAGAGCTTTCTTTTGGTGGTATTTGATCTGTTTTTTTATTTTGTATTATATAAACAAAAAAAAAAAGACAGAAAATTTTGAAACAAAGTGTATTTCTACTTGTAAAGTGTATTTCTGTTTGGTAAAAAATCCCAATACACATGTATAATAATCGGTTTGTGTGAAAGTTATAGCGTCTACAAACTATGGTATACATACTGGAATTTGCATTTTTACTTTCTAACTGCCTATCACATTTCCTGAGGTGCTAAAATGTCAGGACAGTGCAAACTCCCCCCAAATGACCCCTTTTTGGAAAGTAGGCACCCCAAGGTATTTGTTGAGAGGCATGTTAAGTCGATGGAAGTTTTTATTTTTTGTCACAAGCTTTTGTAAAACATTTTTTTTTTTACACAAAGTTGTCACATTAATGGGATATTTCTCACACCTGTGATGGGTATATGTGGGTTTACACCCCAAAATACATTCTGCTACATCTCCCAAATATGTGGAAACCACAGGTGAGAGATTTTTTGGCAGCCTAGCCATGTACAGGGGCCCAAAATCGAATGAAACCATTCAGGCTTTAAAAGGGAGTTAATTACTTATTCAATTTCCTGACTACCTATCACAGTTTCAGAGGCCCTAAAAAGTCAGGACAGTATAAACACCCCCCTAATGACCTTTTGTGGAAAGTAGACACTCTAGATTTGGAAAATGATTTTTTTTTTTGGCTAGAGTCAGTGTCACTACTGGTAGCATGAGGTGATACCTGAGGTACAGATACAGAGGTTGCACAGGCAGTCCAATTCCTCCAGAGTGGAACATCAATACGTGCCATTGCCAGAGCCCTAACAAAATGACCTCCAGGAGGCCGCTGGTGTGAATGTCTCTGACCAAACAATCAGAAACAGACTTCATGAGGATGGCCTGAGGGCCCGATGTCCACTAGTGGGCCCTGTGCTCACTGCTTGGCACCATAGAGCTTGATTGGCATTTGCCATTGAACACCAGAATTGGCAGGTCCGCCACTGGTGCCCTGTGCGTTTCACCGATGCAGCAGGTTCATCCTGAGCACGTGATAAATGTGAAAGAGTCTGGAGAAGCTGTGAAGAACGCTATGCTACCTGTAACATCATTCAACACGAACGTTTTGGTGGTGGGCCAGTAATGGTTTGGGAAGGCATATCCATGGAAGGACACACAGACCTCTACAGGCTAGACAATGGCACCCTGACTGCCATTAGGTATCTGGATGATATGAAATCCTTGGACCCATTGTCAGACCGTATGATGGTGCAGTGGGTCCTGGGTTCCTCCTGGTGCACGACAATGCCCGGCCTCATGTGGTGAGAGTATGCAGGCAGTTCCTGGAGGATGAAGGAATTGATACCATTGAATGGCCCCCACGCTCGCTCGCCTGACCTAAATCCAATAGGACTCCTCTGGAATATCATGTTTCGGTCCATCCAAAGCCGCCAGGTTGCACCTCAGACTGTCCAGGAGCTCATTGATGCCCTGATCCAGATCTGGGAGGAAATACCCCAGGACACTATCCGTTTCATTAGGAGCTTGCCCTGACATTGTCAGGCATGCATACAAGAACGTGGGGGCCATACAAACTACTGAGTACCATTTTGAGTTGCTGCAATGAAATTTCAGCAAAATGGACTAGCCTGCTGCGTCATTATTTTATTTTGAATGAATAGGGTGTCTTTGAATTCAGTCCTCTGTATATTAATCATTTTCATTTCCAACAAACGATGGGGCATCCTTGCGTTCCTAACACATTACCCAGCCCATATCAGTATAGATATCCGGTATGATATTTTTCCCCATTGAGATCTGATGTGTTATCAAAGTGTTCCTTTAATTTTTTTGAGCAGTGTATATTTAAAAATCTTGGCATTTTCTGGTTTCAGATACGAAGATATCTAAAATTATTTCCCCCCGAACTCCAGAATACTTAAAGACGAGCACCTTTGCTCAAAGATAAACTGTATTCCAGTGTGTTTGGCTCAACCAAAATTTCTTTCCTGTGTGAGATGGGGAAACAGCTCTCATTGTTTGAACACTGTTTGTGTGCAGTAAATTATTGTGTGGAGTAAATTAATGTTTTGACTGACATTCTGCGGTTTAGCCACAAGATATCACTGTTTTTCTAACACAGGCTCAGACTGCATAGATATTTGTATATTCATGAAGAGGTGGGGTTTTCACACAGAGTTGGGGTTTTTAGTGAACAGGAAGAGGAGACTGCAGCCATGTTTTGGACGGTGCTGAATGCAAGGGCCGTGTGAGCTGAGAATCCGATGACATCCAGGTGTGAAAGCGTCCCTCACTAACCAGAGATTGCTGCCAGGAAGGCTGATGAGAGCAGAGGAACTAAGCAACATTTGTTCTGTTCAGAGTCACCAGTGGATGCAAAGCAGACCCGGGTCGGTAAGATCATGCACGTACCTCATTTCAGTGTTGGCCGATAGTTAGTTAGGGTCTCTCTTTGTGTCAGGCCGCAAGTACTGTTACTGATTATTGGAAGGACTCCACCACTTACATTTTTAAGTTATATTTTGTTATATGTTTTGCTTTTTTATATTTTTTGTTCTTTTTACATGATGGACTGGTATTTATGCCTATTTGGATTAATAAAGTGATTTTGTATTCTTTTGGGAATTAACATTTACTTTGTACAGGATGAGTGCTTATCCCTTTAATGGCTCTGCCTCAATGGTCCTGGTTTATGCCTGACATGCATGGCCCTGTGCCTCTTGTTCCGTTTGCCTTGAGGGAGTAGGGCAGGAGTGTCAAACTGGCAGCCCTCCAGGTTGCCAAACTACATTGCAAAACTGATAGTTACAAGCATCAGAGGCATGATGGAACTTGTAGTTTCGCAACAGCTGGAGGACATGTAGGGGATTTTTTAGCCTCCTGTTTTTCCCAACACAGCCGTTTTTCCATCTGTATATATGTTTTGGAGAGCTGATAAAATCCTAAAAACTCAAGCCAGACTGGCGTTTTGCTCAGAAGGAATACTCAGGCACATGCTACAGGACCAGTTATGGGAGGGGAAATACTGTATATTTGTGTAAGTTTGTAAGCTGTTGTGCTGCACCGCAGGCTAGCCCATACCATACACCCATACACTGATTCCTGCTCTTTTAGGGTAATAACGGGTAAGGTGTGGCAGCTTATTTGTGCCCACCAGTAGGCAAATTACTTCACTTTCTACCTTCATCCATCAGAAGGCGCCGTGCTGTGCAGCACAAGGGTCTCAACTTTTGGGCTGGGTGTATGTAAATTTATTGTATGTTTCCAGCATTTGTGGTTGTGTTTTATTTGCCACATCTAAGTAAAATTCTGTTGTGGCAAATGCTGGTGTTGGGCTTGCTTTCCTCGTTTGTGACTTCACTGTATCCTGGGGAGCCCACCCTGGTACACGGCTTACACCTGGGCCAACCGGTACTTTTTCTTGTGATACCTGAAATTACTGTCAATTCATATGCCTAGATAGAAATCCGACCTTGCCAAATGGTCACATTTTTGTTCCCAAAGATTTTGCTAATTTCCAAATTCTGGATGTTTACATCTTGATTTGTCCTTATGGGGCTTTCTACATTGGCAAAACAAAGATAGAATTTTGGCAAGAATATATGAACACACCTCTGCAGCCATGACAGGCAATATATACTATCCTATTGGACACCATGTAGTAAATGTACACAAATACCATATGCCACAGCTTAATTTTTTGGTGTTGGAGAGCTTTTCCAGGGATAAACTAATATTACAGACAGAAGCTAGGTGGATTTATAAGCTTAGAGCCACTCCCTCCCCTGTCCTGAATGACATTTTAGAGGGCTTTGTATCGGGTAATATCTGAACCTTTGATGTACCGTAGTTTTCACTCCATGAGACGCACCTAGATTTTAAAGTAGGAAAACAGGAAAAAAAATATTCTGAACCAATGGACTGCAGACATAGTACAGGAGATGACCAGAGACTGCAGACATAGTACAGGAGATGACCAGAGACTGCAGACATAGTACAGGAGATGACCAGAGAGACTGCGGACATAGTACAGGAGATGATCAGAGACTGCGGACATAGTACAGGAGATGATCAGAGACTGCGGACATAGTATGGGAGATGACCAGAGACTGCGGACATACTACAGGAGATGACCAGAGACTGCAGACATACTGCAAGCGATGACTAGAGACTGCAGACACAGTACAGGAGATGGCCAGAGACTGCAGACACAGTACAGGAGATGACCAGAGACTGCGGACATACTACAGGAGATGACCAGAGACTGCGGACATACTACAGGAGATGACTAGAGACTGCGGATATAGTACAGGCGATGACCAGAGACTGCGGACACAGTACAGGCAATGACCAGAGACTGCGGACACAGTACAGGCGATGACCAGAGACTGCGGACACACACAGTACAGAAGACCAGAGACTGTGGACCTTTGGGGAGCGGAGGGGTGGGAGTGGGACATAGTACATGAGATGACCAGAGACTGCAGACACAGTACAGGAGATGACCAGAGACTGCGGACACAGTACAGGAGATGACCAGAGACTGCGGACACAGTACAGGCGATGACCAGAGACTGCAGACACAGTACAGAAGACCAGAGACTGTGGACCTTTGGGGAGCGGAGGGGGGGGAGTGGGACATAGTACATGAGATGACCAGAGAATGCAGACACAGTACAGGAGATGACCAGAGAATGCAGACACAGTACAGGAGATGACACAGAGACTGCGGACACAGTACAGGAGATGAACAGAGACTGCAGACACAGTACAGGGGATGACTAGAGACTGCGGACACAGTACAGAAGACCAGAGACTGCGGACACAGTACAGAAGACCAGAGACTGTGGACCTTTGGGGAGTGGAGGGGGGAGTGGGTACCCGAATTGGACAGGTACCCGCTCCCACTTCCGTGGAGTAGTCCTTCCCCCTCCCTCCACGTAATCTTCTGGGACACGTGACAGGTCCCTGAAGATTACAGGTCCATTCACAAAGCACGGTGCATCTTGCGCATGTACAGTGGGCACCCGACTGTGAAGCTGCAAGCTGTCACAGCCGGGTGCCCATGCCGGCGCTGGGGAGAGAAGACTGAGGACACAGCTGGACCAAGGAACAGGTAGGACCACTGGAAGTCTGCAGAGAAGAGCCGAGCGGCCGACCTGGTATTCTAACACGGGGAGAATACCAGGCTGGCCGCTCCATATTCGCTCCATAAGACACACAGACATTTTCCCCCCATTTTTTTGGGGGGAAAAAGTGCGTCTTAAGGAGAGAAAAATATGGTAATTTATTTCTTTTTGATACATATTGTGTTGTGGTATTTTTAAGTTATATTTTGTTATATGTTTTGCTTTTTTATATTTTTTGTTCTTTTTATTGAAAGTAACATGATGGACTGGTATTTATGCCTATTTGGATTAATAAAGTGATTTTGTATTCTTTTGGGAATTAACATTTAATTTGTACAGGATGAGTGCTTATCCCTTTAATGGCTCTGCCTCAATGGTCCTGGTTTATGCCTGACATGCATGGCCCCTGTGCCTCTTGTTCCGTTTGCCTTGAGGGAGTAGGGCAGGAGTGTCAAACTGGCAGCCCTCCAGCTGTTGCCAAACTACAAGTTCCATGAGGCATTGCAAAACTGATAGTTACAAGCATGATTCCCAAAGACAGAGGCATGATGGAACTTGTAGTTTCGCAACAGCTGGAGGACCGCCAGTTTGACACCCCTGGAGTAGGGGATTTTTTAGCCTCCTGTTTTCCCAACACAGCCGTTTTTCCATCTGTATATATGTTTTGTTTGAATCTGAACTCTTTTGTGTGACACAGGTTGGCATCCATGCGTGTCGGCACTCTTCCCCAAAGATGGCCACAATCCGCTCTTGCATTGCCACTGGAAGTGACGTACTCATAGCACTGGATATGATGCCGTTTGTGGGTGGAAGTGTTCCAGTTGGATCGGGGCAAGCAGAGGATGCAGATGGAGGAACCTTCAGTCGTCCTTGACACACATCATCTATAATTTGTCTAATTTAGTGTGCTTTTTGACAGCATTTGCATAGTCTGTGATTGGCAACCCCGGGTCACCAGGTCTGTGTTAAGTATAATATAAAGGATGTTCTTTATTTCTCTGCTCATGCTGCTGAGATGTGGTGCTGATGGCTGTGAATTTCTGCTAACTTGTTTGATACTTTCTTTGGAGTGGGTATGTGTCTCTTTGTAGACTTCTGTGATACCATGTTAGTGCCATTTTTAAACTAGCCTTTCTAGTCTTTTAAAGTAGTTTTTTGGGCCTGTTGGTCTTTGAAACTCCTCCTTGACTATTTGGAATCATTGTCTCTGCATCTTCCCCTTATCCATCTGCGGAGTAGAATAATTTTTGGGTAAGATATATTTTTTTAAACAACAATATAGAAACTCTGCAACCCTTTATCTGTGAGGCGGTTACTAACTGAAATTATCCAATGTTTTTAACCTGTTGCCCCAGTAGAGGATTACTTGCCTATTTCCACCTGTCCTTGGCTACTTGAGTTTGCCCAGAAGCCCACCTACAGATGTCTATTGTTCCACGTTTATTTTTCTTGCACGGTTTGAGGCTGACTTTTAATACAGTGTAAGTGTTAGCTTAATTTATATTTTTTTTATTTGTGCTATGCAGTCCTTTTGGGGTTAGCATTTTTTATTTATTATTTGTTCTATTTATTAGGTGAATTGTATACTGGTGTTGCTGCCCCTTGTGTCATTCTTTGCGTTATACCAGGTTTACATCCTGGGACGCTTCCTATTTGGGATATGCACTCATTCTTCCACTCTATATCATATGTGTCAGCACCTGTGGTAGTGAGCCCTTGTAGATCGTCAACTTGGGGTTCCCCAGGGTGCGGAGTCTAAGCCCCAGCCTGCTTCTTCACCAGAGCCCCTGATGGTGGGGATGGACTTGCAGCAAGCTGGGACCAGGTCACGGCCCCCGGGTACGCCCAGCTGAGGATAAGGAGACCACTCGCAGGAGCAGAGTACAATGGGAGGAGACAAACGGAAATCCGATAGACTAGTCGAGGTCAGGACAGGCGGAAAACAAACACAGAGAACAAAGCCGGGGTCGGTACACAAGTAGACAATGCAGGATACAGGAGATAACAACACACAGGAGCTCAGACAACTAGGAAGTTGCTCAGGCAAAGTGGGCTAGACTGAGCATGTCTTATATAGACAAGCAAACTAGAAGGCGGGCCAGGAAGTGATGGAAGGGAAGGAAATTAAACCCAGAGGATAGCAGACGATGCCCATAGGTGAGTACAGACAAACACACATGTGAAAGGAATAATGAGCAGCAAGGAGGTAAGAATAAACAAACAAGAGGCTAACTTGCGACAATATGGTTATTGTAAGTGACTTTATTGTTATTATTTGTGAAATGAGTTCCCTTTCTAGTGTTGGTGTATTTACATATATTTATATTACAGATTTTGTGATTTACCCCCTGAGAAAGACTTTGTGAGCTGAAACGCGTAGGAGTCTTAACATTATTTACATAACTAAGTTCAGCATCATTCACCTTGATACATTGACGAAGTTATTATATGGCAGAGTGCAAGCTATGCTTCATAATTCTTTGTTGTAATTGTGATTGCTATTTTTAACCCTTATGATACTTTTACTCTATATTCTAATAAAATAGCTTTTTTTTATACTGTACATAATTTTGATGGGTTCATGGTACCTATGTAAAGTCCCATTCCATAAAGTCTGTGCAAACTGCCTTCCAGGTGAGAGCCCCCAGGAGAGAGAGCTCTGGTCAGACCCTCCCAAACATTTATTTTCTCCCCAGCCACACTTTCTGGTCATCCCTCCCAGGGGCTGGCAATGGTCAGATAAATATTCATACCTCTGAGATGGATCCTCTGACTCTGCTGCTGTCTGCCTGTGGAATAAGCTTCCAAAAATTATCAACTCTCAGGTTTAGGGAGACCTGATCAGACCCGAAAAATAAATTGCTGCACAGCTGGGTACTGCAAAGCTACAAACTAAATTTAGCCAGCCTAGGGCAGGGACACTTTACTGTTTGCATACAGGGACGTATTCCCAGAATGTAGAAATTCCACATTCGGGACATGTGTCTACAGACGCATACAAGTTCCACTTGGAACAGCGTACAGCTGCCATGTTTTACAGTCTATTTAAAATCTGACAGGCTGCTGGCAGAGGACTGTACGCTGCAATTCTACATCCTGGGCACTGAAATATGGGGCATGTAAGTTATTTTTATTCTTTTAGCGATCATTCAAGTCAACAGAGAAACCTTGTGTTCTTTGCAGACCTGTGGATGAAGTACATTATGAGTAACATAAAAACCAGCAGATTAGGACAATGAAACAGAGGCAAGTTTAATGTGTGGTACGTATCTTAAGCTGCCACAGTACATGAAAACATTTAATACCTGTGTTCAGAGGTGGCAGTGCCTTGGATTAACCTTGCAGATATACAGCTATAATGCTGTAAGCACAGCCCCACATACAAGGAAGTGCACTACTAATTTTCAGGAAGAATTTAAAGTGGTTGCAAATTCTCAAGGTTTTTTACCCTCATGCATTCCATACATTCAGTGTGAACCCCCTCCCCAATCCCCCTAATGCTTACCTGAGCCACATCTTAATCCAGCGATGTGCACGAGAGCCTTGGCTCTCCCAGGTCTCTCCCTCCTCATTAGCTCCTGTTGCTGTCAATCGCAGCCAGTGAGCTAATGAGGAGAGAATGGGGACGGGGCCAAGCTATGTGTGGGAATGGACAGACTGAGTAGCGAATCGGGAGTAAGCCTGCTCGGTTGCCCCCATAGCAAGCTGCTTGCTTGTCCCAAGAAGAGGAGGATCTGGGCTGCAGACAGCATGTAAGTATAACATGTTTGTTGTTTTTCTGTGGAGCTGGGAGCAGTTCTACAGGGGAGAAGAGACATCTCCACATGTAGTTGAGAAAGTTGAGCTGATTTTTTTCAGAGGTTCCTCGCCTGTAAGGGACTGTTGCTACTGATCCACAAAGATTGAAGGCTTTAAGGAAAATAACAGTCCCGGATCTGTTTCTGTAAATAGGAAGGCAGTTGTCCCCATGCTTTGATTCAGTTAAGTTGGCATGCTATAATCCATTTTACCCTATCCAATTTATTTCCCCTAATAAAATAACAGAAATCAAGTTCAAGGACTGTTCACTGACTGTGGATGCAAGTGTGGAAAATGCATCTTGCCTGGCTGTGCGAAGCTAAGGGGAAATCTGGAAACACTGTGACCCTCACGAGGGTAGCTGTATGGATCTATAAATGCAGTCCATACCATTCTGCACTTAGCCCTGTTATGGGCAGTCTAAAGGGCCAATATATAAATATTTTCGCTCACCTGGTAAAAGTTACTTATCCAAATATTAGCAAGTGTAACTTATTTATTTGTACTTTGCTTTAGCCACAGTCCACCACAGGCTGCTTTTGTTCCTTTTCTGTGATGTAATAGACACTTTTTGTCTCATTATGTACCTTTTGTAGTAAATTACGTGTACCACATAGTCTATTGAATAATGGTCCAGTGTTTTATTTGATGTACCGTATGATTGTCACAGATCCAGATTCATAATCAAATAATAATCAAAATCAAGACGATTCTATGATTATTTTCTAAAATGTTTAGATCCTAATCTGTAACATGTTGAATCCTAATACAGAAATAAGCCTGACTGAATAATTCAGACAGAATTGTAAGGTAATTTTTCATGTGGTCAGGCATCATGTGCAAAGCTTATACCTCCTTCTTCTGACATCATTTTTGGACTTATATTGAATATAAAAATAGCTCCAGTGAAAATAACCTTGTTTGT